TTATCTATTTTATCAGTGAAGAAATTCATAAAGTCATTACTATTAAACTGTGAGGGAATATTTAGATCGGGTGGCGTCTGGTTATTTGTTAATCTAGCCACTGTGCTAAATAAAAACCTTGGATTGTTTTGGTTATTTCCTATGAGTTTGTGGATATGCTCGGACCTGGCCGCTTTTAGAGCCTGACTATAGCTGGACATACTGTTTTTCCACGCAATTCTAAAAACTTCCAAGTTAGTTTTTCTCCATTTGCGCTCAAGACTACGAGTTTTTTTCTTGAGAGAATGGGTATTACTGTTGTACCATGGCGCAGTACGTTTTTCTCTAACCTTTTTCAGTTTGATGGGGGCAACAGCTTCTAATGTATTAGTGCTGTAACACTTTTATGGTCCATTCTGTCATCGTAGTCTTAACAGAGTGGACATTTCTGAACATTACTGACACCTGGACTATAAAGAATATTTGTGACTAAGAGGATGAAACAACGTCGGTCTCATTTAGGACTTAAAGGGGTCATGAACTGAGAAATCAAAATTCCCTTGATCTTTTGACATACAACAGGTCAATGTATAGGGTGACCAGATTTCTCATGGTGGAATATGGGACGGGTGGGCAATATGACCACGATATGAGAAATTGTATTTAATGATATATACAATTGTGCTCAAAATTATTCATACCCTTGGTAAATCTGTATCATCAATCTTTTAGATATTTTATTTTAAAAATGTACTAAAATCTAACATTTCATTGGAGAATAAGAATTTAAAATGGGAGAGAAATCTCAATGTGAAATAAATGTTTTTCTCTAATACACATTGGTCACAATTAATCATACCCTTTTATCCAATACTTTTTGCAACCTCCTTTTGCCAAGAGAACAGCTCTGAATCTTCACCTATAATGCCTGAAGCATAGGCGTAATTTGCGGTTGGGACGGGTGGGACATGTCCCCACCACTTTTTGCCTGGGTCGATATTGTCCCTACCACTTTTTGAAAGTAATTGAAAAATATCTTGCGGAAGTTATGTATTAAAGGGAAAACAAGATCAACAAATCATTCTTCATAATCTAATTCATACATGTAACACATTTTTCCGACGGCCAAACGCTTTTCTATGCCCTCAACAATGAATATTAAATCTCATTGTGAAACTATCGCAAGACACGCGATATGAGTCATGGGATATGTAGTTTACTTATAAGTAGTCTACAGATTCCTGCACCTTTCTCTTTGCCATGTTCTTATTGTTTGGGTACTGTTTCAAGGTTGAAATATTTTATTTGAGATTTTGAGAAAATGAATGGGACAATATCTCTGGTACTGAAAAGTGATGACTTCACGATTGCGGTGGATTGACGATTCAGAAGAACGGAAATACCATCTTCCTCAACAATGCAGGTGAGTTCACATGAGGCTCGTCATGGTTATTATTACAATTCATGCTTATTATCAAAGCATATATAGCAAAGTGTTACCTGAAAATTAAGTGATAATTCATTTTGTAAACTCTTATTTGATACAGTAACGATTAAGCACGTGAAGCGGGTTTATGCATGACGTTAGCTAGCTAATGAGATTTAGTGGTAAGCATCAACAGATTCATATAGTTTTGAGGGTAGTAGATGATAGTTAACTTACCCTAAAACTGGTAAACTATTTCCTAAGATTAAACTTATGATACACGGACACAACTCTTGAGGGTCTAAATACAATGAATCGTCTTTTATTGTTAACTAATGTTTTAATTCTGTAACATCGTTCGTTTTAGTGATCACGTTTGATGTCAGCCTTACATCTTTTTTTTTTCTCAGGATTTGACCTATCACAAGCGTTGGACTAAAGAGGTAAGTATGTTATTATTGTTGTTATTTTATTATTATTATTTATTTCCAATTATATTTACTTTGTAGCATAACCTTAAAGACAAAAATATAATGTTGGTATATAATTTAATTAAATGCTTAAAATACTTAGTATGACAAAATATTGAGCAACAAAGATAGATGCTTTTGGTAGAGGTCAACAGTAATCTTGTTTATTAACAATAAATAACATCAATATGTTTATGAACACCTCATTATGAACTGTAATAAGAAATAAAAAGAATATTGTAATGGATGTATAAAAAAAAAAAGAAAAGAAGCAGTGTCAGAGTAGCTTCTTTTTAGGTTTAGTTAGCTTTGTCCACTAAAATGAACCAAAGACCTGAGCACGCCTCTCTGAGACCTTAATGAATTCCTGGCTTATTTTTTTGTGTCTAATTTATTTGTTCTGTCTTTGTGAACATAACAGACAACAACGCTGTTCAGACGGTTCTGGGACATTGTGGAGCGAAGCCATGTCTTCAGGCGCCGGAGAGCACTGAAGCTTCTCTCTGCCTCAGCTGATGATGCAGGAACCACGAGTTCTGTCAGGACCACTATCGTCAAAGATGATTGACAATTCATTTTAGAATTAGTCTGATTCAAAGGAGAATCAGAAGGCTGAATCCTGACTGACGGAGGAGGAGTTGGGGATGGAGGAGGGTAATTAGCTATTGAGCAATGCGAAAACTGCTGATAATACTGAGGGACCTTCTATCTAAGCATTCATATGTGTCGTATTCCCATAGGTAGATGGGATCAGCTGATGCGAGCTTGACTAACGTGACCTGCCAGAACTAACGCTACGCTAGATAAGTAAGCGGACCAAAGTCTCCACTTGCTTGAAGAGTCCACGGACCTCAGGTACCATGTTCTTCAAAATATTGGCCACTTCTGTACAACTTTGGTATTTATAATTTGCACGAAACATGGCCATCTGCACCTTTAGGGACTGGGATTTCAGCTCTGGGTACAGTTCAACAATGTTGTTGACTTGTCCAGAGATTAGGACATTTTCAAGCATGACAATGTTGCGCAGACCCTCCTGTTCAAATCGATGTGTCATCTGTGTCATCACTGTATCAAAAACTAGGAAGAACTGCACACGATAGTACTCCTCAGCTGTAGTCAGAATGTAGGGCTGAGCTGGGCCAGCATGTCTTGTAGAAGGCCGTCTTAAATGTGGTACTGTTATCACCTCAAGGTCCAGTGATGTTACCACCTCAGATACCTGTATGTAGAGTTCTCTGAAACTTTCATCTGATCTTTTGTTCTGAAAGCCATTTTTGACACACTCAACTGCACTTAGCATGCCTCCGACTGTTGTTCCCCTCTCCCTTGCAGTGAGGTGTTCAGGCCTTCAAGGCCTATCATGATGTCCTGTGCCAACAGCAGTCCAAAAACAGTGTTTCCTTTCTGGAAACGCTCACGAAGGCCATTGGCTTTGGATGCATTGTCATGTGTGCTGGATGATGCCATTTCCTCCAGTGCTGTCAAGACAGCTTCATATTGGGTGAGGCCAGAATTGATGACTGGTGTACGCACTGAAACCTTTGTGTCCAACTAGATGGACAGTGTTGTATAGCAGCCAGATATAGATTTTGCCACAGACTGTTTTTAAATTTTCCATGACTGGCCAAATAAACAGCCCAGCTCATGGATCCATTGCAGACAATCCCGAATTATTGGTGCGGCTGAACAGGCTGCTGGTGTGACCAAGTTCACCCAGTGGGGGCCACAATGAACAAAGGTAGCAAGCGGTTGCTCTCTGCGGATGTGAGCTTGTGCACCTGACAAATGCCCAGACATGTTGGCTGCTCCATCGTAG